TTTATTGAGACAGAGAAAAAAAATCCTTGTGGCCTTGCTTAGTCTGGTTTATGTGAAGCTGTTCCCTTGCTTTGCTTACAGCCAAGACCCCCTCTCTGCTTTGATAACATGCTGCAGCTGCAAATGAAGTTTAATTTTTCTTCTGTGGGGTGTCCTCGACAGTGATGCTCCCAGCAGCTCTGTCAGGATGGGATTCACCAGAGGGGTTAAGCTGACTGAGCTGCTTCCACACAGACAGTTTCACTACACCTGGGACTTTTTGGACCTTTGCCTGATTTAACTCACTAAACCAGAAGGAAATTACCCAACTTTTCGCATAAGCTATTTTTGTGCCATTTTAGTGAATTGCATCAACTCAGGTAATGGTCCGACAAGTACCAAAGCAGCATAGCTTCTGGCAGGAGTTTTTGGCTGGGAGAGGGAAAATGATCGTGGAACCAGGGAAGACCCTTTTGGAAGCAGAGAGCTATCATGTGTCTTGCAAAACTGCATCCAGCTGAAAAATATCCATTTTGTTTTTCTGAGCTGATTTTTACTAACTGAACTAGCTCATTGAAGGCAACATGATTGCCAGACCCACACACGAGAAGCAGCAGCAGCACCATGTACCAGGAGGTATGGAAGGAGGCTGTCCCCTGTCAGCAAGCCCCTCTCAAGGAACTGTGCTTGGAGGTACTCCCTGCCTAGCCTCTTCATCTGCTGTGCTCCTTGCAGAGAGAGAATAGTCTTCTGGTAGTACTGTGGTTTCCCTACTTTAAAGGATAGTCAAGCCTCTTGAAGCATCTCTTCTTTGATTAATTGCTGTGATGTAAAGACACCCACCCATTTCACAGAATCACACAATGGCAGGGGTTGGAAGGGACCTTCAGAGATCATCTAGCCCGACCCCCCTGCTAAAGCCAGGTTCACCTACAGCAGGTTGGACAGGAATGCATCCAGGTGGGTTTTGAATATCTCCAGAGAAGGAGATTCCAACAACCTCTCTGGGCAGCCTGTTCCAGTGCTCTGTCACCCTCAAAGTAAAGAAGTTTTTCCTCATGTTGAGATGGAATTTCCTGTGTTCCAGCTTGTGCCCATTCCCCCTTGTCCTGTCGCTGGGTGCCACTGAATAGAGTCTGGACCCATCCTCTTGACACCCGCCCTTTAGATATTTATAAGCTTTGATGAAATCCCCTCTCAGTCTTCTCTTCTCCAGGCTACACAGACCTGGGTGTCTCAGCCTTTCTTCATATGAGAGATGCTCCATTTCCTTGGTCATCTTTGTAGCCTCCCGCTGGACTGTCTCCAGTAGTTCCCTGTGTGTCTTGCAAAACTGCATCCAGCTGAAAAATATCCATTTTGTTTTTCTGAGCTGATTTTTACTAACTGAACTAGCTCATTGAAGGCAACATGATTGCCAGACCCACACACGAGAAGCAGCAGCAGCACCATGTACCAGGAGGTATGGAAGGAGGCTGTGCTCTGTCAGCAAGCCCCTCTCAAGGAACTGTGCTTGGAGGTACTCCCTGCCTAGCCTCTTCATCTGCTGTGCTCCTTGCAGAGAGAGAATAGTCTTCTGGTAGTACTGTGGTTTCCCTACTTTAAAGGATAGTCAAGCCTCTTGAAGCATCTCTTCTTTGATTAATTGCTGTGATGTAAAGACACCCACCCATTTCACAGAATCACACAATGGCAGGGGTTGGAAGGGACCTTCAGAGATCATCTAGCCCGACCCCCCTGCTAAAGCCAGGTTCACCTACAGCAGGTTGGACAGGAATGCATCCAGGTGGGTTTTGAATATCTCCAGAGAAGGAGATTCCAACAACCTCTCTGGGCAGCCTGTTCCAGTGCTCTGTCACCCTCAAAGTAAAGAAGTTTTTCCTCATGTTGAGATGGAATTTCCTGTGTTCCAGCTTGTGCCCATTCCCCCTTGTCCTGTCGCTGGGTGCCACTGAATAGAGTCTGGACCCATCCTCTTGACACCCGCCCTTTAGATATTTATAAGCTTTGATGAAATCCCCTCTCAGTCTTCTCTTCTCCAGGCTACACAGACCTGGGTGTCTCAGCCTTTCTTCATATGAGAGATGCTCCATTTCCTTGGTCATCTTTGTAGCCTCCCGCTGGACTGTCTCCAGTAGTTCCCTGTCCTTCTTGAACTGGGGAGCCCAGAACTGGACTCAGTACTCCAGATGCGGCCTCACCAGGGCAGAGTAGAGGGGGAGGATGACCTCCCTTGACCATTTTGTATAGTTTGCCTACTGTATTCTTTGGATTTGTCCTTTGAACATTTTCTGTCACCTGCTTTTACTGACTGACATGCTGTCAAGGCTGTTTAACAGTCTTGCAGGCCTAAGATGTATCCGAGGAGAGTAGCTAGCTGAACAGCCAGGCCCTGAGGGCTGTGATCAGTGGCACAAAGTCCAGCTGGAGGCCAGTCACTACTGGTGTACCCCAGGGGTCGATAACTGGGTCCAGTACCATTCAGCATCTTTATTAATGACCTGGACAGTGTACAGACAAAACAAAACTGGAAGGAGTGGCTGATAGACCAGAGGGTTGTGCTGCCATCAAGAGGGACCCACACAGGCTAGAGAAATAGGCTGGGAGAAATCTCACAAAGTTCAACAAAGGGAAGTACAAGTCCTGCCCCTGGGCAGGAATAACCCCAGGCACCAGCACATGCCAGGGGCCAACCGGCTGTAAAGGAGCTTTGCTGAGAAGGATGTGGGGGTTCTGGTGGACACCAAGCCAAGCATGAGGCAGCAAGAAGTCCTTATGGCAAAGAGGGCCAAGAGCACTCTGAGGTGGATTAGGAAGAGCATTGCCAGCAGGGTGAGGGAGGTGCAGTACTGGTGAGGCCACATCTGGAGTGCTGTGTCCGGGTGTGGACTCCCCAGTACAAGGAAAACTTGGAGCTATTGGAGTGAGTCCAGTACATGCCATGAAAATGACTGAGGAAGTGGAGCATTTGCCTTATGAGAAAAGACTGGAAGAGCTGGGAGTGTGCAGCCTGGAAAAGAAAAGGCTCAGGAGGACCTTAGCAATGTGTGCAAATACTTGAAGAGACAAACTCTTCTCAGTGGTGTCCTCTGGGAGAATATTTAGAGATCAATGGTCACCCTGTGAGCACCCCAAGCACTGAGGACTTGGTTGACAACAGTGTAAGCTTCAAGGAATGTAGAAGGTCGAATGGTGTTTTGTGAACAGCTGAGTTATGCAGAGGGAGGAAATAACTGTTGCTGAATGTACCGATAAGCAGGGCTTTGAGCAAAACATAAAAGAAGATAACTGTGCGCGTGGACAGCTAGGGCTAGCCAATCATATAGTAAGGATGCTCGCGTGAACTATGCATGTAACCCATTGCTGCTTGAGTGTCACGTGGCACGGGAGAGAACTGTCTATAAGTGGCATTTACCTTGATCATATTGGTCGTTGTGTATTTGTCCGAGCTTCCGCATCAACAGTGTCCAGTGACAGGACAAAAGGCGGAGGGCACAAATCAAAAACTATGCAATTCAATCTGAACACAGGAAAACAGTTTTTCACTGTGAGTGTGACTGAGCACTGGCACAGATTTCCCAGAAAGGTTGTGGAGTCTCCATCCTTGGAGATATTCAGAGCCCATCTGGGCAGCCTGCTCCAGCTGACCCTGCAGGGAAAGGACTAGATAACGTCTAGAGGTGCCTCCCAACCTCAGTCTTCTGTGACTCTGTGATTCTGTCACCTATAAATCACCTGTAGATGTGATTTATAGATCCCTTTGTGAAAGTCTGGGGCACACACAAATGCCACTGAGAGTCCCTGTATTGCTACAACATAGCCCACAGCTTATTACCTAGGACATGCTGATGATGAGGAAATCAGCAACAGGCCATGCATTTCCTTTGTAAAAGAAGAAAAAGGAGTAAGGAAAGATTGCATAGTGATTTTTCCTCATCTACATGACATAAATTGAAGCACATTCCTTCTTTGTCAGCTCTATCCTGTAATGAACACCTCACACTTCTGCAAGAGGAAAGAGAGATTCCACATCTCAAAGGGTCATTGTAAAATACCAGCACTCCCAAGATGGACACCTGCTAAACATGTTGTATTTTATAGGTTCAGCATTTGTTAATGTCTAACACATATATACACTCTAAAATATTGTAGTTCAGAAAGATCAGCTATATAAAGATAGCAAATTGGGACCTAGCACAAATAGACATACAATACTAACGACAGAAAATTATATTGTGCAACTTATCTGGAATTGTGAGGTGGAATTTACTAAAATAACATATCCATTACAACGTTAAGCAATGTTAGCACTAATTGCGATACATATTATTAATTTTCAAGCATGCAAGTTGGAACTGCCAAGCTGGCATGAAGCCTGTAATGGTTAATTTTTAAAAATTGTTGGATATCTTACTGATGCATGCTTCACATGTCCTCCTGGCAGACAACGAGGATTTTAAGTATATCCTAAAGGTTAATTTCAAGCGATTAGGACTGTGGCCACATAAGCAATTCAAGCCTCTGATTATCTGAGATGTCTCAGTTGGAAAAGAAAACAGCAAGCTGTGAGCGGATAACATAATCCCTAAAAGTTTTTTAGCTGCTCCCCACGAGTGCTAGATTTTCCCTGGGTAAGCCAGAGCTCAGTTTGTCTCACATGCCTGTGCGCTCCCTGCTCCTTCCTTCTTCAGCCCTTCAAACGAAACCCTTCTTCAGGAAGAAATTCTTTACCCTGAGGGTGGTGAGGCACTGGCACAGGTTGCCCAGGGAAGCTGTGGATGCCCCATCCCTGGAGGTGTTGAAGGCCAGGCTGGATGGGGCTTTGAGCAACCTGGTCTAGTGGGAGGTGTCCCTGCCCGTGGCAGGGGGGTTGGAACTTGATGGTCTTTAAGGTCCCTTCCAACTCTAACCATTCTATGATTCTATGACCTTGCACTTGAATGCAATCTCTGGGCAGTGGCACACGGAGGGCAGCTGAAGACTGAAACTACCTTGTTTGGTGGCAAATACATGCTCGAGCAATGCGTGTCTTAAGGCAGCGGCAAAATACAGGCGTTATAAGTGCGAAACGACAGCGGACAGCCCGCCCGCCACAGGCTATGAGCTGCCCCACACCGCCCTTCCACAGCACTCCTCCCTGCGGCGCCGGCAAAGCGAGGGCCGCCCCCCGGGGCGCGCTGGGACGGGTAGTTTCAGCTGGGTGCCGCCAACAGGCCCTCAAGGCGGAAGGAACTACGTTTCCCAGCGTGCCCCGCGCCGCGGAGGAGGCTATAAAAGGGGGCGTCGGCAGCGGGTTCACACGCCGGTAGGCAGGTGGCGGCGAGC